TCTGAAAAATTATCAGAAAGAAGATGAATAAAATCAATATATTAATGTCCTCGGAGCCGTAACACTAGATCCAATAACATCAAGCAGAGCTATTGAAATGCTGTTAGCGGCGGCGTGCGGAGACGGTACCAACTCTATCTAGATAATAATGGGCAGCAGTCTGAACATTTAATGTAATCTTAGGTTATTATTTCTTTTATATTAACTGAGAAGCCCGATTGAAGTAACCTCTTGAGTTTATATTAAAATATGTTTTTTTGTTTCTGTCAGACTTTTTTATTTGCTTCGTATTGTTCAATTTTATTTAATTGCTAATTCATGTATTCGGCTCCGAGGACATTATTATGTTGATTTTCTTCATCATGGTTTTTCTTCACGCGGTTTTTGAAAAGATCCAAAACTGATTAAACTATCTTCTAACTTTTTAAAAATTGGGTTTGGTCGCTCGCGCTCTGGATACCGCTCAAAATATAAATCAGCTGCCATTTGCTTATGTTTGTTAGACTCAATATAACATTTCTATACCAAACATATTATATTTCTCAGCATTATCAAATTTACTCATTTTTATTATTTAAAATACACACACTTCAATCTGTTGAAATGAAATGTCCCGCACCCATCAAAGGTATGTTCCGATCACCATGACAACCGTTTACTTTATTACTCGGCGCGGCCTACTATCTACTAAGTGGATATTTTAAGAAAAATTTGAAATGTTGAGGTTAATAGTGAAAATAAATATAGAGTGTTATATATTTTCGAGAGCTCCATAAGAAAATTTGAAAATATATAGGGGGTTCTATTTAAAAAAACATAAGTATAGTTAATATCTCAAAAAATATTTTTTTCGAAAAAAGTCTGACTACGCCACTGCATTCTACACAGAAAAGTGCCTTTAGAATGTATAATTCATTTTTCCGTGGTTGCTGAAATAAACAAACTATCGAACATCTTCAAAAAGTACAAAATTTGAGAATCCCCCTGTAGCTTCGAAACCGATCAAGATAGCCACGATCCGTTTGCGCCATTGTAATTTTTTCAAAAAAAGAACCCGAGACTGTAGTATCAAAATTTGAATATTTCTCACGGTTTCCTAGATACCCTATAGAAACAACCAAAATGGTCCACCCTGTACAAATAATTGTTCAGACCGGTCATGTTCTAATGTTGAAACACCAATAGTAGAGGATTCGTTTGATACCAACGAGGAAACATGCGATACATCACTATTGATGCAATTTACTATAATAATTCTCTATAAAAAATGTATCTAGGATGAAGAAAACGAACACGACGAAGATCAAGAAGAAGAAGAAGATAAAAAAAAACAACAAGAAGTATTTGAAGGTTGTTATGAATCAGACTAGTAGATTTCTATTTTTTTTTATTTCCATCGCTTTTTTTTATTCTGCAATAGTTTTCTATTAAACAGAATCACAATAGACATGTGGAATAGGCCTACTGGGGAAACCACGTTAAAAAAACGCGAGTACACTACTTCATAGGTGGCGTGTCTCAGAAAAAGTGGCTCTAAGGAAAAAAAGTATTGATACATTTTCTATAGAGAATTTCATGGCCTATAATTTTTGTCTCAGGTAATTTTATGATAAAACTTACGGGTTTGCTGAAAATCGCAAAAAAAAACATTTTTTTCGAGATTTTTGACCTTTGACCTTGCATAATTTTTTTTCCAGGCACCGGAATGATTCGAAATTTTATGTTATTTTTAATTATGTTTTAAACAATTACGCGCGTTTTTAGCTTGTTGTAAATTTATGTACCTTTATCCATATTTTTTTGTCTAATTTGACCGGACTATGAATAGACCACAGAAATATTTTATTCTGTAAACTTTGACAGACAAAACTGGACTGAACACACTCATACACTGACGTTTTTAACTGAACAGGCCTGTCCGTTCTGTTAAAACCATAGACAAACTAACAAAAGCAAGACGCGTCAACGCTGTACTGCAAAACGGTAACAAGTTTGATAAGAGTTTATTACCGCGCTTGCGTCAACTGGCCTTTTAGACGAGGACGGTTTACTTATGGATTGTGTATTTTGTAGTAGCCTTTTAGACAAGGATGTTTAATTAAAAGCGTTTATTAAAATCAAATAAATTTATTTCCATCGGTAAAATAAACAATAATTTCTGGACATAACAGATATAAAAACAAAAGTTAAATAAACGAAAACGTATTCCTCTTATTAAAATAACAAAAGAGACGATAAAAAAACAACAGTTATGGTAAACGAAATAAAAGCATTATTCTTCAAAAGGTACAAAAAAATAATTATGTATATTATAATATTAATAATAGGAACAACAAGAAACATCTTAAAAATATACAACTTTTTCAAATATAAAACAAAAACATAAACTTCACATTTTCACAAGAATTTGCAAAAATATTAACATTTCGAGTCTATTATAAAATATAAAGCACGAAAATTCAAATCATAAAAAGATTAAAAAGATAGAGATTCTTATAACTTACAGTCAATTTGTAGGACCTTCGTTTTGTCTACGTTAGCGATGTAATCACAATAATATGTATAATCACAGTAATTATTATGTTCTTCATAAATGTAAAATGTATTAAATTATTTGTTTTCGTTTTGTACGCTAATAAAATAATAGTAATAAGCAAACAAAACGCAAAATCAGGAATTCAACAGTTCGTTCAAGGATGGTTCAAGGCAAAAACGTTTTTCGTTTTATTTAGGTTAGGTTTGACGAGTGCGACTGCGCGATGATTTCTGACTCAACTGGCCAGCGCAAAAACAATAATCCATGGTACAAAGAATACAAGGTATGATCGATAGCGGCTCCAATTTCGTTCAGTTCGCGCATACCACCTGTGACGTCACTAGGAAAATAATGAATAAATAAAAAATAAAGAAAGTTGACAGGAGATCTGTATTTTTTGGGGTTATGGTTAAGAATTGTTTATTTTTAAGACTTTTTAGTTCGTTTAATTTAATAATTACTAAAACCATCAGTTCCAAAAATACATTTAAAAATAATAATTATCTATTAACATGGATTTGGACGATAATAGGTAAGAATACTAAATTTATTTCTATATTCGGTATAAAATTGTTTATTAGGTTTATAGTTTGCGATGTTTATGGTAAATAATTTTCGTGTTCATTGCCTCTGAATTCACATGAGGACAGAGATGAGGATATCTATGGAAAAGTAACCACAAGAGGAATTGTTATATCATTTAAAAAATGTTGGGAAGTTTATTGTTTCCCATCGAACAGTAGAAAATGCCAATGCAGATGAATGTATTGTAATTGTGATAGAAGTAATTCCAAGGGTGAAGTTTACTATAATTAGTGGAAGTAATTCCAAGGGTGAAGTTTATTATAATTAGTGACCTGTGCTTCTTTTTATATGTAGATGTTTCAGGTTTTGAGAATAAATCGGTTGAACGAAACCCAAAATTTAGAGGAAGATGCCCATCAAGGATTATATAGCTCAAATTTCCTTTAATGGTAGGCAATTATTCAATGCAAATTAACTTTTTAAGTGACTGAAATATTAAATAGTTTACAATATGGTATATCACTAAAAATATATTACTTTTTAGGTACAATTAGGCCTGATACATTTCAAAAGTAGAATATTATTTTATAGTAAATGAGGTATTGTACCAACAATTAATTTATATTTACCGGAGATTAAAAATCACAGAATAAATAGTTCTTTTTTTTTATATTACAAAAATAAACTATAGAATACAACAGTATTTAAAAAAATAAATAAAAAGTTATGTCCCGGCCGAGATTTGAACTCCGGTCTCTCACTTCCTAGCCCGACTCCTTACGCACTGCTCCACAGTAACTTGCTTAGCGATAATTCAATGACGGTATATATAAACAAAAAAACTAGTGATGGGATCACTCGAGTGAAAAATACTCGGTCATCCGAGTATTCATATCCTCGGTATGTCTCGAGCATTTTTGTCGATCCTCGAGGATTACTCGGCGGCCCGCAACAACATCGAGTGTGGCGTACCGACCTCGCTGCTCGCGACGATACAGGCGATTTACGATATGCTGAAACCTTTTTTGTGTCGTTAATCGATGATTACCGGCACGCAGCCAACATCGGGTGTAGCACCGTCCCGCTGCTCGCGAGAGGTACAGGCGATTTACGATTTATGCTGAAACCTTTTTCTGTCGTTAGTCGATGATTATTCGGCACGCAGCTAGCATCGGGTGTGGCGTACCGTCTCGCTGCTGAAACCTTTTACATAGAGGTTAACCTTTAATTTTAATCACTTGCTCGTATATCGTTCGCAATAATAATCGGTTTTCAGAGTAGTAACTCTGCATTTTGAACAGAAATACATTACTTATTTTTGTTTTGTTTAGTTTAGATGGGATATATTAATTATAATATTTCTTTAAACGATAAAAGATTTTTTCTCCATACTTTTTTAAAAGATTTATAGATTTTAATTATTGATATAATGTTTTTGTGTAATAATTCGGAAATAAAAATTCATAATATAATGTCAGTTTTTCGACTGTCAAAATTCCATTAGACAAAACCACAGTTGTTTATTTGGGTTAAGGCTTTGGAATTTGCTTGTTTTATTTACATTTTTAAGTTTTATTTTACGTGTTTTCTTGTAAAAGTTTGCTTGTAGTTGTACGTTGGGAGACTATATTCTGATGAAAGTAAAATCTGAAATTATAATATATGATTTAAGCTACATTTAATATTATATTTATGTTTTTTTTTGGGATAGAGGATGACTGTTTAAATTAAATACTTGTTCGTATAACAATAATAATCGGGTTTCAGAGTATTAACCTGCTTTTTTCCAACAGAAAACATTAATTATTATTTTTTAAATACAAAATTCTAAGAAATAATATGAATACTCATGGATACTTTAGATATTTATTTATAACATACATATATATTGCTTATTCATTAATACAAAAAATACTTATTTAACTTGATAAAGCAGAATTCAGAAAATAATTTTATCAACATTTTTGGAACCAAGTCTATTTCTTCTCGAACACGTGAGCTGGCCAGCTTTAGAAAAATTCCTTCCGATGGAACTGAAGTTGCCGGGATGCAAAAGATATTTGGCAGCCAGATCATACATTTCGGGTAAGGTTGTTTTGTAACGACGCCACCATTCTAAGGGATTTTCAGTTCTTGGAAGTGGTTGCATTTCAAGGTACTGTCTCACCATTAAAATTAATAGGCTTCCAGGCGTTGAATGGCTTTTAATATTCGTAACCTTACTATCGAAGTGTGCCCATATGCCTTCAGTTGATGCATGCAGATTTAGACTTTCTGAGTTAGCAGATTCCAATGTGCTGTGAGCCATAGTTTGATTGCTTAATATGTTTTGCGATAGTTCTTCCGTAATCCACTTTTGAGCGTTGTTTGCATTGTCCTCTGAACCAAATCCAATTTTTTTAAATCTGGGGTCCAAAAACGTAGACTTGGCGACAGTTTTGTTACTTTCATAACCACCAAGTCTTCGTGTGACAACTTCCAAAATCTTCAGTTGTAACGATTTTCCAATTTCAGTGCTGGGAGTAGTTTGTTTTATAGTATATTCAAATCCATGGAACAATGGAATCACTAAAGATAATGTTGGATATTTCTCAGCAGACAAAGTAGTGGACATGTCTTCTGCTGGTTTTTAGCACTTGAACGCAGTCCTCTAATACTTTCCATTCATTGGCACTCAAAATATCAGGTGCATTTGGAAGGCTAGCCATGGCAACGGAAAGAGCATCTTTAATTTCAAGTAGTCTTCTTAACATATGAAGACAAGAATTCCACCGAGTGGCAACATCTTGTTTAACTTTTAAAATTGGAAGGCCCATTTGTTGTTGTGTTAATTTAAGCTTTTTCAGAACCTTGTACACTATGTTTAAAGTAACCAACAATTGACTTACATTTTTTCAGAAGCTCCATCAAAGCAGAGTCTTTTAGCGCCTCATTTACACTAAGATTTAGCGTGTGTGCAACACAGGGATGATGGTGCATTTTCAGGTGATCATTTATCGCACATTTAATGTTTGCGGCATTATCAGAAACGACAGTCGCAGTTTTGTTATAAACATTCCATTCATTTAATATTGTTGTTATAGCTTCGGCTAAGTTTTTGCTTGTGTGGCTGGGTGTTGACATAATCAGCGTGGCATCTTGTGTCGCTAACACACGTGAAAAGAGTATGCTATCCCATATGTAATGACATGTTACGGTAATATACCCAATATTATTATCAGATGTCCACATGTCTGTAGTTATTGCTGTATATTTTATTTCATTTAAAATGGTTTTAAAGCGACAGCTGATTCGTTGTAAGCCTTAGGTAATATTTCATTAGCTAATATTTTCCTATTGGGAGGCTATACAACGGATTCAAGGCTTTAGTGTACTGTAAAAATCCAGTATTTTCCACAATCGAAAGAGGTTGAAAATCCGAGACAATCATCAATAACAATAATTTTTTTCGATTTCGGCAATTTTGCTCTGGAAAGTTCGTTACTTGAAGCGTATAATTTCATTTGCTTAGAGCGGCGTCCACTAATATTCGACGTAACAACACACTTTTGCTACAGGATGGTAAACTTTCGGATGAAATATTACTTGACGGCAAGGTACTCGATGAAGTTTTGCTGCAGGACGGCAAATTGTTTGTAGCCGCAGGAGTATCTCGAACCTCATCAACTTCCATAGCTTCATTTGGAGGTAAATTTTCTTTCTGTATTTGGAGCGGATGAAGCCTTTTCAAATGCTGCATTAAATTTGTTGTGCCTCGAAGATTTTAAAGTCTTTTTTGCAAATGGAGCATGATGCACTTTATCTTCATTTTTTTTAAAATAGTCCCAAACAATTGATTTTTTTAAAACTGGACATTATGCCGCACGGAAACTTAAAATATGCACGATAACACAACTACCACAGTTTATTAGGTACTACGTACTACAGTTTATTTTCGGTGACAATACGCTATTAAAAAGTAAAACAAAATATATTTTTTATCTCACTGACCTACCGCCGACAAATAAACAATAAATAACAGACCCTTCTAAAAAGCCGCCCGTATTTCCTAGAATTACTTGTTTACATTTGGCCTGAAAGGTTGCCGATTAATCTCAAAGTCGGAGTTAAACAAAAAACAGCACAATTTAAAGCGAACCCCTAAAATGTTATTTCCCACATCAAATTATACACACGAAAATATTAAAAATTATTAAAAAGTGTTTAAAATAATTATTTATTTTTATTACAATATTATTCAAGTTATTCAGGTACATGACAACAGTGTGTTAAAAACAGCAAGCAGATCACCCCAGCACCGAGCATTATTCAGTTGATTCAGGTATCAATCGGGATATTATACAGAGAAAATTTTATGACCGAGGATTCCTCGGATGATCATCCGATTATTGGAATCCTCGAGGATAAATACTCGAGGATTAAAATCATCCGATTTTTCCCAACACTAAAAAAACAGGTTTATAACAATATCTTGACGATTTGAACTGGCGCGCGGAGCGTGCTGACCAATAGCGCCTGTTATCACCTGTGACGTAGCGACCAACCTGCGCAATATCATACCTTGTATTCTTTGTACCATGCAATAATTCGACTTCCTCAATCCTTTGAAAAGTCTTGCTTTTGTTAGTTTGTCTATGGTTAAAACCAGGCAAAAAAGAAAGTGAATTGGGGGTTAAAATCTTATTTTCCGAACTGAAATTAAGTATGTATTATTAGTTTTACGATACAGTATGAAATAAAAAGTATTTTTTAATGCATAAATTGTTAAAGAATCATAAAAATTACATACTAAATTTTGCAATGTGTATTCCTATATTAATGACATTTTACGAGTGGAGACGCAAATATTTGGGTGAGCTTCGTCGGTTTTTATAGTGGCTAGAAATAGATACGACCGAATTAAACAACTTATGGAATCTTCTTTATTACGGAATCTTCTTTTGTGGCGCTTACATATTTGATGAGCGTATTTTGTCTCTTTTTTTCTTAGTTTTATGTTACTTGGAAAACAAAACTATAATATGGGAAATATTTTCTTTATTTTATGACTATTTTGTTTACAGGGATGTATTAAGGAAAATATAGGCAATGACTTTGAATAAAAATACTAAGAAAGAGGTCTAATATTATTTATTTCTTACTGAATTAATAAAGCTTATACTTATCGTCTTGGTTAGGCTAACCAATAGCAGAGACAGCTGCTGTAAATAGTCATAACTCTCAGAGGAACCGCCTCTGTGAGCTTATGTATTTAAAAATATACATATGTACATATTTCTTTAAATTCAAAACCGAGTTCAAAACACTCAGTTTTAAGACACTCTGTATACATAAATAAAATTATTGATTTTTAAAATATTATTCGCAAACTAGGGAGAGGGAAATCAGACGACGAACAGAGATAATAGGTGTTAAGTAATAACTTTGAGACACATTGATGTTATTTTGGTTCGTAAGTTTTGTGACAAAGAATGTTATTAAAGGTAAAGTAAATGTTTTCTTATTATTTAACTAGTGTTAACAAGGCACGTAGCTTATTTGTCTGTTGTAACATTCTGTGCTAAAGATTTTTCTTATTTATTTCATCTCATGCTGTGAATAATTTTAGTTTAAAAGTAATCTAAATTCTAAATACAATGTTTACTGTCCATTCGTGCCGATGTTTGTGGATGAGTGTGTTATAATAAGGGCCTTGTTGAATGTACTAACACTTTTCGACCGTGAATGGGCGAATATCTTAGCTTACTCAAAAGAAAGAGCAAATAAAAACAATAAATAGAATTACTCATAGAATAATCTAAAGATATTTGCACCAAACTTTCAACTTCTAGTTCCGCAACCAGGGCAATTAGTACCTACGGGTGTATGGGTAAAATTCAACTCATGTTTACAGATAGATTTATTGTGAAATCGGATAATGTGGATTCAATTTCACTGGTCCGACTTGATGCGACCGTTAGCCCAACAAAGTTGGAAGCACAGTGGGAAGTGTGTAGCCCGCGTTAACACATTGAGCTTTGAATATTTTACAAATAGTATCAGCTGTTATAAGTAAAATCTAAAAACTTTGCCAAGCTAGTAGGTATCAGGTATCATAAAAGTTGTAATTTTTTCGGGTTTTGTTTATAACCATGGCTTGTGTGTCGCTACTCTCGTGAATCGCCACCGAGGTTGTAGGCGATTTGGGATTCGCCCCATGAATAGAAGAAAGGACATGGAAGGCAATTTTGGAACTCTAATACAAGACATGCCTTCCTTGGAATGGGACTAACAACAGTTCACAAAATACACAAAAAATTAACATTTCAAAATTTCACGCATGCGCATCTACACGTTTTCCTTAATCGCTAATTCGTAATCGCTAAAAAGTTAAAAGTTGGGAACTTTCAAAATAAAGAATTACGAACCGTGATTAAGAATTAAGGATTAAGACATTGTATAACCAAACTAACTGCATAACACGTATTTTATCTTTTTATAACTTAGCGAATAAGAAATAAGAATTAAGGAATAGCAATTAAGGAATTGGGTAAATCCGCCCTAAAAACTTTGCCAAGCTAGTAGGTATCAGGTATCATAAAAGTTGTAATTTTTTATTGTTTTGAGCGAAAGTACCTTGGAAAACATTTTCATAATAATAACATTCTAATCCTATATCCTATAATTAAATAATACTTATGTAGGTATTCATATATATTTAATACCATACCAAAATCAGGTGACTAGTTTATTTATTAGAAATCTTCACACCGAATTCTTCTATAATTGAAACTAAATACTCTTTTAAGTTTACTGTTCAAATTTAATAATTTTATTGTTTGAAAATAATGAAAATACGTACTTAAGCAGTTAAGAGGCAAGTCAATAAACTTTACTAGATTGTAGAATGCATACAAAACGAAAAGGTCAACGAATGAGTGTATTGGACAACTAAAATCATACACGATATAAAAATATACCACTCACTTGACTCACTGTTAGCATGGCAATGAAAAAAAAAATCTCTGACAAAGTGAAATACCTAACTAACCTTTTTCTGGCTTCAATGAAGTATTTATCATCACCGAAGGAAGAATCCCACTGTAGGAAACTCACAAGACAAGTTTAAAAACTTAAACCGCTACTCCGTATTTTAGATATTTACATACACTTAGGTCATTGAAAATATATTCACTTTATAACCGTACGGTAGAGCTTAAAGTTCTAATAAAATGGAATCTAATTTATGTGATTCATACTGATTTATGATGTCGTTGACGGTGTTTTTTCAGTTTTTAACACAAACACAGCACGAACGTTAACACGTCAACGACTATTTTGACACTGTTGCTGTTTCTGTTATTTTCCCAAATCCTTTCTCTTCTTCTATTTAACTTCTCTGTATTTAACGCACTTCGCTCCAGCAATTTTTTACTAATCAATGGCTAGAAACGCTAGAAATAACAAAATACATTATACTTTCTTTCTCCTTTATAAATACAGTCTAATTTTAACATATTGAAGTTTTATTATTATTTTCATCATGCCCAAAAATACGATACACCTATTTAAATTTAAAATTTATGTTTTTTTCATATTTTATTATGACCCACAGATTATGTTATAAATGGTTTTTACTCTTGACATTAGTCATCTGTTAATTTTGACATTAGATTTGACAGTGACAGTTCAGTTTAATTGATTTTTCCTGTGAAGTTGTATATTTTATAATTTTATTTTATTCAAAAAATGGAATAGGATATTATTGCATTGTTCTTTATATTTACAGTGAGCAATATGGGTACTACATCTCCAGATCCACAACATAATATAATACACGAAAATGAAGTAGTAAGTTTCCGTTTTTTTTAAACAGTTTACATTATTCATTATTATAAATGTAGGAATAGAGAATATTTTATTTGCATATAAATTACCTTAGTTTATCAGGGAATATACGTATATCTAGAGCTTACGTTTCTTATGACAGGGCATATTTTCTTTTTTAAATGAGTATCATTACGTTTAATGTTATGGACTACTTAATTTAGTTACAAACATAATTTCACATACCTGGATAGTAGTATCAAAGAGAAATTATATTTTAATGAAGCCAATAAGATTGTGTCACATTAAGTTTATTTTTGTAAAGCTTTAAATTCTGTTTTGGAATTCTTAAATAATAAAATAACTGATGTAATAACTATTATATTATATTGGTAGTTAATGAACAAAATTTACGAGATTGCCTAAATATTCATGTATTTAATAATACTTACCCACTTTTATAGAGTTTGGAATCTCAACCTCCACCAGTTGTGATTTCTACAATAGTTGAATCTCCAGGTGTATCAGGTCCTATCGAAGTCACTCATCAAGTTTTGGCAACGAGTTCATCTCTTGAAGATATTCCCCCTCCAAAGGTATAGATCCCTAAACAACTTTTACATTTAATACATAAAATATTATTTTTTTACTTCGTTGTCTTATTTTTGAACATACAACTACATCCAAGTAATTACGTAAATTTCATTTAAGTTATACTGTTTCAGCCTGATTATTATGCTCCACCACCTTACGAAGTTGCCACTCAAACCTCAAAATTACCTACCTATGAAGAAGTGCAACGAGAGAAGAACTTGGAAGATGAACTACTTGGATTGCCAGTCGTCAATGCACCAAATATTGTAAGTTTTTTAGGGATTTGTCATATTCATTGTAGAGGGCGACGCGACGCCTCTCATACGACGCGGAGGCTTCAAGGAGAAAGGTAGTTTATAACGAAATGAAATTTTGGTAGCACATGTAGGTTAATTGAAAGCGTTTTATAAAAATATATAGAGTTCCTCAGGGTAGGCCAAAGAAAGTTACATATCAGAGTTATGTTTTTTGTATATTAATTGATTTTCTTAAAACATATATTTATTGATTTTCGAATTTTAGGAAAAAAATAATGGTGAGTTTCATTAAAGAAACATTTGCCTAAAATGTAAGGTTTTTGACCTAATTCACATTTGTGAAAATGAAGAATAAATGTTAAATTTCAATATCAGCTACCTAAATTGTAATTTACCCTGTATAGCCTGATATTTAGTTAAAATAACCATGGTATGTTAAACCCTTTGAATAAGAAGACTAAGGAAGGAGCATATCAAAAATCTTAGGTACACCGCGATGGGCCTCAAATATGGCCGACTTAAATTCCGGTTTATCAGTGTCATTCTATTTTATTTAAAAAATGTAAAACTATGATGTAGGGTAGACGTGGGGTAGACTCAATAATTTGTTGTTTTATTTTACGTTGTGAATAAATGTTGGTAGTTATTGAAATTGTTATAAAAATATATAATTCTAATAAAAATAGATAAGTTATAATAAGTATTTATTAACACAAACATCCGATATGCTACTGAAGCAGGTAAGTCAAATTAACGTATCTAAATTCTTTGACATCTAATCTTTGACAAGTAATAAATAAAAGCTAAAATGCAAGAAAAATATATAATTTAGTTAATTTAAGTGAATTTCATAAATGATCGGTTTATTACACGTATGTATATTATATAGTCACTTACTAGCGAAAAGTTCAATTTTTGCCGAGATCTACCGCACGCTACACAACCAACTATTTTAGAGTCTTTTTCGATAAATCGCGATAGTGTCACTGTTAATTTAAGTTCTGCCACAATTTCCATCTAGATTTACTACCATTATACAACTATCAGTAGTAGAATAAATAATAAATAACATAAAATAAGCTCCGTAAAGACTCACAAATCCACAAAATTTCAAATCAAATTCAAATGTGTCAAATGAATCGTCAAACAGAACTGTCAAGGATCCCCACCCTAGAGAGCTTTTATGGTGGCTTTTCCGCCCACCATGCATGAATACATGGATAACATTATGCTCCTTCCTTAGTCTTCTTATTCAAAGGTTAAACCAGTAGTTCCCAAACTTATTTTTCTCGTGGACCACTTTCAAAATTTTACTGGTTTCGGTGGACCCCCTGCTGCTACATTTCTACCACATTCTTAAAGTCGCCAAAAAATAAAAATTGTGTCACTTCTGAGTTCTGTCCCTATATTCCGATATGTAAAATAAAAACGAAAAATGGTACATTTTATATCACTTTATTTATTAAAAAGAATAGAATTACAAGAAAAAATATTAAGGTAATATAGGTTCAGGTCATAATTTTAATTAATGGGAAGGATGTATCTGATGGAGTGTCAGCAAACGATCAATGTTTGGCTTTATTTTTGTGAGCAATAACCGCAAATCCCCCCCGCTCTGTGATGTTTAATTTGTTTTTTTTGTTAAGAGGTTTGTAACGGCACTAAAACTCCTTTCGACAAGGTATGACGAGGGAAAAGCTATTAAAAATTTCCTTGCGATTTCCCACAGTCCAGGATATTTTTCGGGTATTTCTGCTTGCAGCCAAAATGTTGGGTAGCCTTTTCTAAATTTCACCTTCAGCTCCTCATTAGTGCTTAGCTCGAGCAGCTCCTCTTGTAATACAACATTGGCCACTTCCGTTTCATCAAATGGATTTATGATCCATGGTGGTATATCCATCGTCAGTATATCTTCAAACCTGGTTTTGAAGTCATCATGCAGAGCACTTAAATGTTGACTGTAGGTATGGATATCCTCATCAATACATTCTACCTGCGACAAGTTTGGAAATTGAGAGAATTCGCGCCGACTAATGTTTTGCTTCATAAATTTCAATTTCCCAAGAAAAGCCGAAATTATCCCCTTTGTTTTTATTAAATTCAGGCTGTCCCCTTGTAACTGCAAGTTAATATCATTAAATTTTTTAAACAAATCTGTCAAATACGCAATGTCTGCTTTGAATTTGATCAAGTTTTCTTTTAAATCTGGATCTCTACTTTCTAAGAACTCTAATATGGAATCGAAAACAGAGTAAAATCTCGTTAAGCATGCACCTTTCGACAACCAGCGTACTTCAGTATGTAAGAGCAGTCGTTGGAAGTCTTCATCATTTTCGTCGCACAATTGAGCAAATAAACGCGTATTCAATGCATTGCTTCTGATTTTGTTGACAGCTTTTATTACAAAATGAAGAGATTGGTTCAACCTGTCACTTAAATGTTTTGCCACAAGATGTTGTCGGTGGATTACGCAATGAATAGCTGTAAGTCCTGGTATAATTCTTTTGAGATGACTTATAAACCCACGATATCGCCCGACCATTGCAGGAGCTCCGTCTGTTGCCACTGAAATAATGTTTGTAAATGGGATCGATTTTTCCGTAAAAAAATTACTCAGGACATTAAATATTGATTCGCCTTTAGTGTCAGTCTCCAAAGTTCTGGCAAATAGCAATTCTTCGTGAATTTCTTCCTCAACAATAAATCGGACATATGCCAATAGTAATGCTTCATTACTGGGTAACGTTGACTCGTCCAGTTGTATAGAAAAATGAGTTTTTTGCAGATGATTGCACAAAAAGCTTTCGATATCAGAGCTCATTTCATCAATGCGTCTTTGTACAGTATTGTTACTTAATGGAATTCTTTTTAGTACGTCAAATGGAGATTTGTGCAAAACAGTTTTTAAAACCTCTTCAACAGCGGGTAAAATTAATTGTTCTCCGATAGTGTGCGGTTTTCCAGATTTTGCTATAAGTAATGAGATATTGTAAGATGCCCGCAAGCCATCATCGTTACTTTGAGATGTTGAAGCGAACATACTGTGCATGGTGGGTCTCTTTCCATATTTTTCTTTCAATGTTTGAAAATATTTTAAATCTTTACCTATTTTATCAGTATGACACCTTTTTAGATGATCTTCGAGCTTTGATGGTTTCATAGAGTCATTGCTCAAAACTTTGTTGCATAATAGGCACATGGGCAATTGTTTGTCTGCCTCTGATGGAACAAAACCATATTTCAAATAATCGATACTATATTGTCGACATTTTTTCTTTGCTGTAGCCATGTTTCGTGTCAGTTACCTTACCTGTAAAAAAAAATGTTTTAGTAACCAAGTTTTTTCTGAATATAGGTATCACACCGCAGCCTTTGTCAGCACGCGGAAATAGAATTACGGCTTGTAAAAGGGACCAACTAATAAACCGCTGAGACAAATACAGACGTTTTCACAAAACGGTATCAATTTTAAAGTACATAATTTACCACTAATTTTTAATAGTATAAATAAAAATTGGTGTACTCAGTATCGAATACTGATCATATTTGTGTAGGAAAAATAAAAGTCGAAATCCCAAAATTGTCCATAAAAACGATAACTAACATTTTATTAAATCAATGAGTTCACGCGCTCCGTGTATTTGCGTATTTTTTGTCTGCGGCTTCATTGTTAAAACGTGACAAACTGGCATCGAAGTCCAAGCCCCGCCCTTTTCCCGTCGCCCGCGCACCGCTCGCTCTTTCCGAAAAGGAATAGTTTTGATAAAATAGTTACTTCAAAACCAATTTAAAATGATTATGAAATTACTGTTTTATAAAGTTAGTAGTTATTTGCAAGAAAAATTACAAAATTAATTGCTCTGCAATATTGCTTATTCGGCCTTTTTAGAGAGGCAGTGTTTCTCTCGTGAAAAAACAATTGAATAAAACGTGCTGTGTTTGTCTTCAAATCGAAAGAGGACAATTAAAATATCTGTAAGTTACTAAGTTACCTATCTATACAGGCCGTTGTGATCAACCGACTAGTACACGTAAACAAAATACTTAAGTACTATAACAAAAAAGGTAGGTTACTTTACTTTTCTCCGGCACTAGCAAACACAGATATAAATTTTCTCACAACTTTTTTCCAAATTCCGCCTTTTTTTCGAAATTCGGAAACAAATGAATGCGTTTGCCTTTGGCATCAAGTATTTATAGTGGTGATCAAGTTCATGTCTGAACAAGCATTAAGCATTGTCGGGCGGATAGCGCTTTGCAAGTCTGTACACGAAATTGTACGTAATATCGAATACGCAAGTTTGGACAAGTAACAGTCGCTTGCCTTATTAAAATATTATCTGCTTAGATAGGTACTTAAAACAATGTAGGTAGGCCCTTATAAAAACTATGCTTACATTTTTGCTCTTTACTATCAAAAGCAGATAAATTTTCGTGGATCCCCATTAACATCTTATGGACCCCCATTTTTTGTTCACGCCTACGTAGACCCCCAGCAAGTCTCCCGTGGACCCCTGGGGGTCCACCTGGACCACTTTGGGAATCACTGGGTTAAACCAAATTAAAATTGGCCCAAAAATATTGGTAACTTTTAAAAGCAAGTTACTCCTTTATTTTAAATGGAACTCTCAGTATAGTATTCTGATATTCAATGGAGAATTCATATATCTTCAAAATACTATTAGTTTGCCCTTATATGCCCTTATATCAAAGGTTTTTCTAGATATTTTCATTTTTATGATTTTGCGTCAGTAGATCTTTATTATTTGATAAAATCTAGGTGGCTGTACTCTTCGTTAATTTAAAAAAAATTAAAGGTTGTAGAGTAAGATATTCAACGGTAAAAAAAGATACATGTTTAAAACATATTTTAATTATAACAGAATTAAAACTAGATATAAATGTATAATTATATGACAAAAATTAGCTAGATGAAATCAAATGCTCATAATGCTTCCTTTCCTGTTTAATGCATAAAAAGATTCTCTTTTCAAAAAATCTTTGCATGA